CTGCGAGTTCGACGCCTTGCTTGTCCACGTTCTGGACCAGGATTGCCAGGCACTCCAGGGCCGTCTTGTGTATGGTGGCGTACCGGTTTATCCTGGCGTTGTACTTTTCTCCGCACAGTCGCAGCATGGTGTTGATCAGCGTGCTTTTGCCTGCTCGCGGCGAGCCGAGGACGAGCACTCGCATGGGATGCACGCCAGGTTCGTGGTCGGGTTGGCCTTGGACCAGTTGGGGCTCGGAATGCGGCGCGTCGTTCGACTGCTCGGCGGGCAACCGCGGAGCCGAATCGGAACAGCCCATTGCCCCGCGTCCGTGCAGCTTCGGCTAGATCACCTGTATTTGTAAGTGTATTTCTTCTTACTTGCTCAAAGGATCCACGATTCGGGTAAACGCAGCATTGAGGTTCTCTCGCCGTCTTGGTTTTTCCTCTAGTACCAATATGTCTGCAGAGCGCAGAGACAACAACACGACAACACAGACGTGCTGGCCAGGTTTTCTCGAACTGATCTTCCTCGTTTTCCTCTGCGTTTCAAGCTGTTTACAGTTCAATATAAGGACTTCGGCGCAAGGTAGCGCGCTACTGCCACTGCCTGCACTCCGAGGCGAGGCGATACCCGTAGTCTACGTGTATGATGCTGTTCGTGGGATATCCTTCTAGCACCGAATCGGACAGTTCGCAGCCCACTGATCACTGGTAACAGTTTTTGTTACCGAGTAGCTATCAGTAGGTCTGCCCAGACACTCACATGACGGAAATACTGCAGTGCCATTGGCTGTACCCATGGCGCCACCGAGTTACGGCAAGCTACCCACAAAATTGGTCACGGCATATCCCCAGGGCGGATTCGATTGCCCCAGCAGACACCTGCATGCATGACTATGACCGTAGTGTGAACGTGCAAGCTCCAGATCTCCTACCCGGTAGCTCTACGCCGGTAGAGTCTATCCTCACTCAGCCTGTCCTCGCTAGCCCATATGGCCATGTCAGTAAAAATGAGTTACATCATGTCATGTAGATCTACATGTAAATACCGTGTAATCTCACCAATTCGTGACTATGACGTAACACAGACTAGATCAGTATCAGTAGATGTGTGTGTAGTGAAGGTCCGCATCGAGGGCGGTGTCACTGCTGCCATTAAAGGGGAAGTTAAGGCAAAAATTAAAATTTCACCAGTTGTTGTCTTCGGGGTGCTGAGTCGAATGGTCGTGGTCCGAGGAAGCTGAGACGCTCCCTTCCTACTTGAATCCCAATCGAACTCGCGCACTTCCACCGAAACTGGGTGACTGCGCCCTACTAGATGGGGATTTGTATGTAAAATGTCACTAAAAGCGCCATTTCGTTCTTATAAAAGCACGGATGACCGCGATTGGCCCATATGTTGTAGTCTTTTGGACGCTGAGTCGACTGGTTTTGGTCCGAAAAGGCTGCGATGCCGCGTTCCTCCTTTATTCCCAATCGAACATGGTTGAACAAGCGGTCACGTGCTCCTGCGTACACCAGTCACCTGGTCACCGTGCCTGCAGGGTACAACTTACTAGCCTGTTTGACCTTTTTTGGGTGCAGTCCTGTCACTCGAGTTATTATTATTATTATTATTATTATTTTTTCTTATTTTGTTTGGGATTTCCCAACAGGCAATGTTGCCTTTTTACTGGGAACCCTAAATGAGACTTTGTGTGAGCGCGAAACAAAGCAGGCGACTCGGCCAGGCGACAAGATGGAGTTGAACTCGAGTTGAACCTTGGTGTGAAAGTTCGCGCCTGCTGGCGTGGTGACCAGGTGATTTGGGCACCCAGGAGCACGTGACCGCTTCTTCAACCATGTTCGATTGGGAATAAAGGAGGAACGCTGCATCGCAGCCTTTTCGGACCAAAACCAGTCGACTCAGCGTCCAAAAGACTACAACATATGGGCCAATCGCGGTCATCCGTGCTTTTATAAGAACGAAACGGCGCTTTTATTGACATTTTGCATACAAATCCCCATCTAGTAGGGCGCAGTCACCCAGTTTCGGTGGAAGTGCGCGAGTTCGATTGGGATTCAAGTAGGAAGGGAGCGTCTCAGCTTTCTCGGACCAAGACCATTCGACTCAGCACCCCGAAGACTACAACTGGTGAAATTTTAATTTTTGCCTTAACTTCCCCTTTAATTAACGTCAACAACGGTCTGCGTCAGGGTTGTACTTTGGCACCCGTCTTGTTTACTTGTATTTCTCTGCAGTGGTTGGGTATTGGCGCTCCATGTGCCCGGACGCTGGTGCTGAGCTGCACTACGGAGTTGGCCGAAAGTTGGTTGGAGACCGCACTGCCAAGTCCCGCCTGCAACGTGATGTCGTCACAGAGTCCCAGTTTGCGGACGATGCTGCAGTGTATGCCACCACTAAGCCGATTTTAGATCGGTGTAGGAATTGTTCATTTCGTGTGCGGCGCGGTGGGGCCTCACGGTCAGTCTATCGAAGACCAAATGCATGACTGTCAATTCGCCCACGAATGAGCCGGTGTCTCTTGGTGAGAGCACCATCGAGACCGTTGACAGTTTTACGTACCTTGGCAGCGTCATCCATCGGGACGGGCAGTCTTCGCATGATGTTCAGTCCCGTCTCGCCAAGGCTTCGCGTGTGTTCGGCAGTCTCCGTGTCCCAGTGTTTGAGAATCGGTCGTTATCTCTCCGCTGTCGGCGCCGCGTGTACATCGCTCTTGTGCTGACGACCCTCCTGAACGGAGCAGAGACGTGGACGCCGAAGGCACCGGACCTGCGCTCTCTCAACACCTTTCATCACTAGTGTGTTCGCATCATCGTTGGCGTATCCAGGCGGGACCAGTGGGACAACCGCGTCACCTCGGTTACCATGGCCCGAACCCTCGGCATTGACTGTGACGTCGCGGACGTCATCCGGGAATATCGACTGCGTTGGCTTGGCCATGTTGGCCGGATGAACGACGACCGCATGCCGAAGCGAGTTTTGTTTGGGGAGCTCCCTTCAACACGCCCTCGCCATGGTCCACGCAAGCGGTGGCGTGACGTCATCGTGGATGATCTCCGCTCCATCAGCCCCCCTGTGCCTTCTGACTGCTGGTTTGATGCTGCCCAGGATCGCTCTGCCTGGAGGCAGATTGCTCATCGTCGTCCTCCCGCCCGTGCTCCTCCTGATCCTGACTCTGGCTTCCGCTCCGCATGTGGAAAGGTCTGCCGTCGTCCCGGGGACCTCAAGCGCCACGCTCCGTACTGCAAAGCTAGCGGATAGTCCCTTCGCTATCATTGCCATCGGCAATGGGCACGTTCAAGGTTCAAGGTGTGTAGTGACTACAGCTGAGCCTGTAGTACTGCAGTGCTGGCAACTGAAATCCGACCCCTGAGCGGTGCGCTCACATCGCAAAGAATGTGAACCCACCGCTCAGGGGTCGGATTTCATGTGCCAACACTGTACTACTAATCGTGTAGTGATCGTCCTTGTCTCCATCGTTTCGTGAAGAAGGGCTCGTTTGCATTTCAGCCAACATAGGGTGTGGAGTACTTGAATTACTCGTTCCCCCCCCCCCCCCCCCCCCCCGCACACACACACACCGCGCAGCAGCAACGCCTATAAGGACCCTCGCCAATCATCTAGGAACTGTGACCAACAGCAGAACGTGGAAATACGTTCTAAGCATAATAATAATATTATTATGGACTTACTTCTAAAGTTGAAATCAAAACACTATCTAGCCTGTGTGTGTGTGTGTGTGTGTGTGTGTGTGTGTGTGTGTGTGTGTGTGTGTGTACGCACTTCAAACAGCTGTCTGATGGATACCAGGCTAAAAATAGTGGCGGTCAATTCATCAGCCTTGCAAGCTGTTGAATGGTGTAATCCCAGCACAAATTGCTATGTCTATCATAGCTGTTCGCTATCATCGCTTCCGCGATGGGCATGTCTGAGGTCTGAGGTGTACGCATGAAAAGATAGCGCAATGAGAAGCTGATCTGTACCGGCACACACGCACACGCACACACACACACACACGCACACACACACACACCGACTCCGACACGCCCATCGCGGAAGCGATGATAGCGAACAGCTATGTTAGACATAGTGACTTGTGCTGGGATTACACACACACACCCACCACACACACACACGCACAAACGCACACGCACATACGCACACACACACACGCACGCACGCACGTACGCACGCACGCACACACACACACACACACACACACACACACACACACACACACACACACACTGGAAGAGAAAGCCTAAACTCACAATGCTAGAAGGATGATGAACAACAGTTACTACTTTGAAATGGAAACAAACGGCTCTCAAAAAAGGACCGTTAGCTTTTGGCCCGTGCTAAGAGAACCATGGCCAGTGAGCATGGGACGGAACTGCTCCAAAGTAATTACGTCATCACCACATCTATCAACCTAGCACGACATCACTCCCATGGCTTTTGATAAGCCAGAGGGGAGCACAGAAGAAGAACAGCCTGAACAAAATTCCCTAAGCTTTCCACAACGAAAAGCAGGAGTGAAAACGAGGAAGCTATCAAGCAAGACACCGTCCTTCATGCGGTGGTACGACAAACTGCCGGGCACCAACGCGCGCACGGAATATCTGCTTCGCACAGCGAAACGAAGTGAAGAGGAAGCTGTAGTGTTCGTCACCTCTGAAGACTTGGTCATCTGCCGGGTGGCTACTTGGTGACTTTGCACAATGCTCAAGCACCACTTGCACGCAGCAGGTGTGTGCCTCCACACTGGGCGGTGCTCTAGAACACTGAGCCGAAGTTGCCCGGCTGTGGCTTGCGGATCTCGTGCTCCTCTATCGGCTTGTTGTAGTAGAGCCCTGAGGATGGGTAGAGCGGAATACAAGACAGCCAGAAGTAGGTCAGAATACAAAACATGCAAGAGAATAGAACGCGTGCGTGGCTTGTATTATAATTTTTTCATCATAGTCTAGGAGCAGTGGCATCATTCATGATCCACAGCAAGAAGGCAGCAATGCCTGTACCAATGGTGAAGTAAAATAAAGGTAACATAACGAAATAGAGGTTGCGACTTCGGCGATGATTTTTCAGGAATGGGTTTTCTCCCACACTGGAGCTCGCGCTATTCAACCGACATAACATAACATTATAGACACCATCGTGCCATACAAGCAAGCCTGCCCACAACTGGCACAAGGTCAAGCCGGACGGATGCACGCACTTTCCTGACCTCAAGAGGCTCAACAGGAAGGGTTGCACAACTGCACTAAAGAAATCTACAAGAACACTCGGTTGAAAACACCCAGATTTCGTGGCTACTAGTATTCAAGAACACCCAAGGCCATGCTTGTGTGTGTGTGTGTGCAAGTGCACAAAACCACGCACACACATGCGGATACACACACACGCACACACACACCATCAGAGAGAGAGAGAGAGAGAGAGAGAGAGAGAGAGAGAGAGAGAGAGAGAGAGAGAGAGAGAGAGAGAGAGAGAGAGAGAGAGAGAGAGAGAGAGAGAGAGAGAGAGAGAGAGAGAGAGAGAGAGAGAGAGAGAGAGAGAGAGAGAGAGAGAGAGAGAGAGAGAGAGAGAGAGAGAGAGAGAGAGAGAGAGAGAGAGAGAGAGAGAGAGAGAGAGAGAGAGAGAGAGAGAGAGAGAGAGAGAGAGAGAGAGAGAGAGAGAGAGAGAGAGAGAGAGAGAGAGAGAGAGAGAGAGAGAGAGAGGAGGAGAGAGAGAGAGAGAGAGAGAGAGAGAGAGAGAGAGAGAGAGAGAGAGAGAGAGAGAGAGACACACACACACACACACACATGCACATATGCACGTACGTACGCACGCACAGACACGCATGGATACCCATGCAGACACACAACAACCACCCCCTCCCCCCCCCCCAAACACACACACACAACACATACATAACAAACTTACTGTTGTTGGAGATGGTGGCAACGCTCCAAGCAATGGCAATCCAGTAGCCGATGCCAGCCCACAGGGTGAGGATGGCCAGAAAGCCAAACCAGAACTGCAGGCAGATGATCTTGAGCCACCCGTCTCCCTTGACAACCGTGTGTGAACCACACAGGAACACACAACCCAGCCACATTCCTGTACACAGCAGAGCCAGGAGGAAGCAAGACGTAAGGTTAGGGAATCGTTCTAAAATGCACTCAGACTTGTTTGTTCAGTGCATGCAAACCCAATAATAATAATAATAATAGTAATTGTTCCCAGTAGTGAAACAGTTGGTTGACCAGAGATTGAGCATTACACTCCCTTGCCTCGGCTTGATTGAGCCATCCTATTGGTTAGCATCAACGGTATCTGCCCTGGTGCAAAGCTAGGTGTGCTTATCACAGTTAGAGCACCCTCACTTTGATGCGATGAGCCGGTCTAAAAAAAGAAAGAAGCCTTATTCGTTTGTTGTTGACTAGACTTGTTTGCAATCAGTTCAGCCTGTCGCTCTCAGCTCTGCTAAGGAGACCTAACAGAGACCACTGTAGAACGGCAAAAAAATGTAGCAGGTACATTTTTAGCGTTTTCTGAATCTGGTCCAATTCGCGATGAAAAATATTTTAGCGAGTTTAAAAAGAAGGATGATTTGCACTGTACTGTGCACCCAAAGTTTCAATTGCCGTGGCAAAAATTTAGCGAAAATACTCCTTTTGCTAAAATATCATCGTCGCTAAAGCTAGTCATTTTGCAGTAATTTGAAACAGCTTGCTGGCCAGGGATTGAGTACTCCCCTTAGCATGCAATTTTCAGGCTTACGTTTCGAATCATTCGTGTGTGTGTATGGGGGTTCTGGGGACTCACCAAATCCTGGAATGAAGCAATTCCATATGTAGAAGAAGACGGCCAGGCACATCGGGTAGACGGGAACGATGCGGAGACGCTTCACGCTGCTCTCGTTGTACCGCACGTCATTCTCCACGCTACCAGGAGCGGCTAAGCAGCACAAACAGGCAGAGACGCACGCACACACTTGCCATGATCGTCTGCATACCTGCCACCCATATGGATTCGGCCGGCTGGGACCGTCTCGATATCGCACGGTGGTACTAGGCACCCAAACGTGCATTTGCCACATGCCTCAGCTAGATTTGTATCATGTATAAGTGCAAATGTTCTTTTGGAATTAACTTTCGCTGTATTCGTTTGGGGCACGAAATGACTAAAGTTTGTACCAAACTAAAGTTTTCGTTCTGAACGTTCGGGGTGACAGACCTCGACCCAAAACGAAATTTAGTACGTAACGAGCCTGCTGGTGGAGTGATCTAACGAAAGATCTCGTGAACGAAAATTTGTACTTACAGTCAACTTCGCTTATAACGACACTCGGCGGGGCATCAGAAAGGTGTCCTTATTCGCGAAGTGTCGTTATACCCGAAGTCTCATTATATGTATTACAGTGGGGTGGGACTTTGCTCTGGGCATGGAAATTCTGTCGTTATTCGCGAATTGTCATTATATCCGCAGTCGTTATTAGCGAAGTTGACTGTATACATTACACTTGTATACACTTCATACCTGCGTATGGGCATGTCATCGTCCCGATCTCACGTTTGCAAAGGTTGTCAGGTCTTCTGCATACACAGACCACATGCTTTTAAAGCAGCCGACAATTTGATACATTAACCTCGAAATTTTGTTTACTCCGCAGCATACGGAGAACTTTACAGGTAAGAAAACCTCTGTGACTAATGTACACACGTATAGCAAAATCTGCCCTAACCGGGCGCCCTTGGTGCAGCGGCAACTCTCCTGGTATCACAGGATTCTGCTCGAACCAGGGATGCACGTTCGGTCCACAGTATATTTGTCTGTTTTTGTTGTTGTCACGAAATGCAGATGTCTGTATCACCGTTAAACTGAGTTTAATACTTGACCATCGTAGCATAAGCGGTACCGACATGTTTTCGGTGAATCACTGGTATTTAAAAAATACGATAATCGTTTGTTTGATCAACTGAACATCAAAAAAACAATATTGATACTGTATTGTTGGCCACTTGCTGATGGCAATCATCATTGATTTAATTGGTGCAAATCTGGGCATGCATCTAACCTCCTGTGCTCTTGATGGGCCCCAAACACTCTTGGCGCATCATCGCAATTCTCAATAGTAATGGTACAAATAATTCCCTGAACTCATTCACTTAGCACCTCATGACCCAGGCACTTTATCAATGTGCATCTGCCCTAAACCAGTGCAAATCTTAGTAATAGGTGGTCTGCGTGCTTGGATTTTGGGCAGCAGTTGGAAAATAGACCGTAGGGTGCTGCTTTCCACGGACATCTGCCGCCAGGCGTCTCCCCAGACCCGCGTGATCCACATGCCTGAACTGGACTCTCCTACTTAGTCTGTAGGTCAATTATAATAATATTATGACTTGATTGTATAAGGAGCAATCAATCAACAGTATCCACTTACATCCTGGGGGTTCTCTCTCTCCCCTCTTCCTCTCTCCCTCCAGGCTCACTCAGGGGACAATGCTGGACGCTGCTGCGCTCAGCACCAGGAAAACACAACGTGCATGTTCTAACCAGGCGATGTTTTTACACAGACTGTGTAGGCTGAAAAGTCTCTCCGCAGCGGAGTTTACTTTACTGGCAATACTGGCACTGCACTTGGTTCTTGTGGACATCACTTACCGAGCTCTCCTGTAGCAGTTGTGGGTGCTGGAGCGGGCGCAACGCCCGCTTGCCGAGGGTAGCTGGCCGTTTGGGGGTACGCCGCAGGTGGTGCGCTGCCCGCGTACGATGGCGGTGGATCGCTCGCCGTTCCCGGTTGGTACCCAGGTGGGTAAACCTTCTCCGACATAATGCAGTGTAAGAATTATAGCAGGGAGACACGCTCTCGTAGTCGTAGCTACCACCGAGCTAAAATTATTGGAAACGCTGCAATCAGTTGCGAGGTATGTGCGCGCGAAACAAAGTGTTGGACGCCAGGTACGCGAAAACTTGGAGTGTTCGGCACAGCTCACCCTTCTTCTAATTTTACAGTCCTCAGAACAATCAATGGCAACAAAATATCACCGACCACCCAGCACACATCGACTTCGTCCTTCGTCTTCGAGTTCGACTCCGTACATCCAGCTTCAAGTAAGTAATTAGTTCAAGCACTACGTGCCACGCTAGCCGCTTCAGACAGTTCAGTACGACAGTACGAAGTCATGTCTAGTACACAATCATGTAGTTCTAACGCCGCATTCCTGCGAATATTCTCATGGAGTCATGCATGATGTCGACTGCACGTGCAGTGACATAGATCTACATACATGTGTCCGCCCCTTGCCTCAACTCGATCCAGGCCTTTTTTCCCAACCACTGGCACTGAACCAGGCTTTCATTGATCTGCTTTGTCAACAATACATGCAAGTCACCTTGAAGTGCATGATTTTTGCTCGCACGTTCGTGTTCAACCATGTACAGTCGAACCTCTTACTGGACGAACACCAAGGCAAGGGACCGACGGTATTTGTTCGCAATAACGGGAGTTCTTCTTATGTCTTTCACAGTGATCAAGCGCTTGGAATTCTAGTTCTTCTTTTAAAAGCGAAAGTTTGTCTTATCAGTGTTCTACTGTACAAGTATTAATTTTACGGTAAAATACGTGTACAGTGTACATAAATTATATTTTACGACTCCCTCAAGTAATGAACACTTTGCCACCCACGATTTTTTGGCCCAGCAGATTCCGATATGTAGCCGGCTAGCCGCTAGCACCTGTACCTGTGCACTAGCACTGCGTGTGCACACACGCACGCACACATGGTAGACTCTACACGCCTCAGACCTCAGACCTCAGACCTGCGCAGCGAACAGCTATACAGTCATGTACATAGCCTATGTTATTATAATGTTAGACATACACTCAATCTGCGGACAGCATGCTGTTTCGTTCTTTTTGAACTCATCAGCGCAGCACAGATCAGAGGAAATGAGGCCGAACCTGATAGCAATGGAAATAAAAATTTCCAATCAGGCCCGAACGTACCTTGCCAGAGTGCTCAAACTGACA